CAATAAGCAGATGCCAGCGGATCTCCTATACCTCTTGCCATCATAACCAGGCGCTGTAGACTGTCTGCTGGTTGGTCAAGTAGAAATCTACCGCAAGGCAATATTGCCAGTTCCAAGTAACTGGAGCCCAACATGAATAACAAATGAGGAAAACAAGAGAGAGAGAGAGAGAGAGATGGGAGCAAGATATAAAATCAGTTGGAGGACTTCACATGCGTGGAAGAAGCTCTCTAATCGAACCAACTTTGCAAAACCAGTTATAGCAAGTTTCTTTCGCATCAGTACAAATATTTTTTGCTTCAAAATTCTCTGCAATAAATAGAAAAAGGTTTCATGAACACGAATCAGCTGTGGCCAAACAGGGCCAGTAAAGTCATGCAAACCCAGGTTCAGGACTTCTGTAAGTATTTAGCAACAAATTGCAAGTTATCAACGCATCAATGATTTTAATGCTTTGTTTGCTAAGTTATCTACACTGCAAAATACCACGCCATGGAACAATTACATTTGCTCTTCCAACCTATCAGTATGTGTTGGCAAAAAAAGCATAAATCGTTTGAAGCATTTTCATCAAAGAGATCAGGTTCAATGCACTCTTTATAGATTAACCTAATAAATTAGTAATCCTTTATCAAGAGAGCCCAGTATTGCCATATTAGTTCTCATTGAAGCACAGGAATGACAATAAACATGCAAAATTTTCCCCTTTGATTTTTTCTTTTTCTTTTAGTTTCCTTTCTTGAAGTGATCATATCCAACCAAAAATCAAAACGTCATATGAGGGGAGAGCATGCACTTTTATGCATATCCTAGTATACTATCTCTAATCCTTTGTGTGGGCACGTGACTAAGATGAGAGATACAATGATTCCAAGAGATTCGTATCAGGTAAGGAGCAGATCAGAGCTCCATCTTGAGAAAATTCAGCTTTCTGCTTAATACGTTCCCATACCATATCCCCAAGCATGTCTAGTAAATCAGTCACTAGAACGAATAGAGTAGGGTAAAATTGAAGAACTGATGTATCCATCAGAAGCCTAGTAACCTGCATAACAGAATATGCAACTTCACTTCACAGATTATATGACATAATATTCTTACATTAATACATAATACACACTTTTTATTTCAAAGAAAAAAGACCTAATATTCTTACACCAGACTTGATATTCATTTCAATGCAATAACTGGATTCACAGTTCAGAGTTCGGACAGATAAAACAGAATATTAACATAAGACATCAAACTGAAAGCAATCCAGTTCATGTACAGGCTTAAACTGCACTATTCAAGCTAGGTTTAAACAGATAGAATTTATGAAACAAAATTTATTGCCCATAATGGTGGATGACAAGCCAATTTAACAAATTAATTTTCTTGATCAAATACCAAGAGAAACTATTATCTTCAGCATAAGACAGATCTTTCTTTTTTTCAGTATTTTTCAACAAAATGCAGCTTAAACATAAACATAAAACTTATGAAAACTTTTGAGCAAAGTTCACCTTTATAGACAATTTCAAAGATGTAACACGATCTTCAGTGTGCCAAGCACGGTTTATTTCATCTTTAAGTCCATGAAGTCGTGATAGGTATTCCTGTCGAGCTATGACTTGGGAACCCTCTTCCGAAATTTTTAGTGAAACATCCAGCTCATCTAGATGCAAACTTGTTGAAGATTTCTTATATGCTGCAAATTGGTTAGACATCTACAATAAGACAATACCACAGCTGTTCTGACAGGCATATATATCTTGCATCCAATAATTTTTTATTCAGATCATCAGAAAGACAACCATACCTTCTCCACCTTTTATTATCACATCAGACATCTGTAAGAAAGCACATCATTTCAAAAAGATGAGATGCATGAGAAAAAGCATTTAAGTAATTGTAAATGTAGATAACACTTTCAAAAAGTATAAAAGACCAAAATAGTCCCTTACATAGCCTAAGCATTGTTCTTGTACTTTTAAATTTCAATATATCCTTTAGCAGAAAGAGAAATTTGACAGAAAAATCACACCGTCTTGCCAACTGGGCAAGCAGAAAGAAATCACAAACAACAACCAGTAGAGATCAATGCTGCACATCAATGAAAATTGTCCAAAATCGTTATCCTGTCAATCTTCTATACTAGTAGAGATCCAGATTGAGAAATATCTATAGCATTTGCCTTAGATATATGCTATCTAGAGAATGAAAATTCTGTATTTTTCATTGCCTGTGATAATGATACAAGGATTGTATTTATAACAAGTTACCATTTTTACACGCAAAAAAATCTTCCGAATTAGTGAGAGCATTTTCTATAATAAATAATAAATTAAGTTAAAAAGATTTGATAAGAATCTTCCTAATTAGTGAGAGAATTTTCCAGAATAAGTGAGAGACCCAATCAAAGAAACCAACACTTATCTGACTAGCTATCATATGCCCATGATAAAGACATTTAAAGATCTCAAGTACTATATTTTATCCCAAAAGAAAGCAAACCTAGGGTTTATACCCTAGAGGAAAACCAAGATAGGTGAGGCCAATTCAAGACATCATGCTCACCAACTCAGCCATCCTCTGACCTCCTGCAAATTGGTATTAGTTTCTATAAGACCACTGTCCCTGAAGTTGATATGCAAACCTGAGATTTCCTCAAAAGATGCAGGATGGTGATTACATTACCAAATTTCATATGATCATGGGAGATGAAAGAATTGTGTCATCTACAAACTGAATGTGAGAAACTTCTACCCCTAGTTAAGGACACAAATTACACAACCGATAAATTGAACTTGAGCTTTGAAGAGCAAGTGGTTTTAGCCTGAAAGTTATTACGCAAATGGTGTTTACGTTTTGGGCATTATAAATGGTATCAGATTACGTGCTAAGTTGGTGACTCCGAGCTAGTAAAATCTTGGATTTTGTAAACCTTTGAGTTGTGATACATAGCCTTAATGAGGACATCAAAAATAGAAAAAATCAGTGATTATTGAGCTCCATAAAATTACTCATATCATACACCACAATTGCATCCAAAAAGTTGTTTAACTAGTAGTATTTGCCACTAGACATCATAAATAGTAAAAATATAAAATTATTGAGTTTTATATAAATGTTGAAGTCATACAATACCAATAACTTAAACTTGAAATTTTCAGAACCAGTAGTTAAAATCTAAAAACTTGTCAAGTCAGTAGTGCTTGAGCATGAGAAATAACAACTACTATCAGAGCTAGAGCTTTCGAGATCCAGTGATTTGGATCTAAAAAGTTGTTGGACCTATTGCTTGGATCTAGGGCATTATAAAATCCATCAGGCCTAGGCGTCTTATTGACACCACCCAAATAGTTCTCTTGATTTCTAATTCATCAAAATATCTCTAAAAGCCAACTTGTTTTATTCCCACAAATGGGACACCAACCCAAACACTCAATAAATGGACGATTAATGATCTCATCCTCAAAAACCATCCAATAAATATCAACCAATCAACCTTTAGTATGTTTTTCCTCACATCATTAACCACCAGTGAAAGAGACCTATGTTGGCATCCTCAACTTATCTTCAAGTTTTGCCCCCATCTAATATTCATTTTCATAAGAACATCTTCAAATTCATTCCCAAGGAAGGACAGTTTAACTAATCGATCATCATCATCAACATTTGCCAAGTCTATGGTATCGAGAATATGTGTCTTAGCAAGAATATGATTCTTGCTTACTCTAATATCCCAAAAACTCCCTTGTCCACTTTGCAATTGACTCTTGAACTACTGATTTTTCATAAACTTAAAACCATCTCAACCATAAAGAACACTCTCCGTCCACCAAGTCTTAACGTTCTCATTAAAGTCACCATGAGCCTGCCACATATTCTCGAAATGAAGGGGAGTAGGGTCCCACCTCATGCAACTAGATTTCAGGAGAATAGAACAAGATCTAAGACTGGATGGGGAAGGACTTTTCGCACTAAATCAGTAAACTGTACCTCTAACATTGGAAAAAGGAAGTGGACAAACAGGAGGAAGCAATTATAATACTATTCACTTAACTTGTAGTCCCGGACAAAGGAATTGTTAGAGGGTTCCAAATTAATTATCAGGGGGGATTCAGAGTTAATTAAGATTTGTTGGGTAAATAGGTTTTCCTCTTTCTAGGAAAAGAAAATGTAGGACAAACTTTGGTCAGAAAACAAACAAGAACTTCACATAAACTCAAATAGTAAAATAGAACATGCCATGCTTTTATCACCTAGAAAATAACTCCAAATTCCCCGGCCTTTTGCAGTTTAAAACATACTATCCAACGTCATAGAACATGACAATACACTTACTGAAGAAATTGAAACCATTTTGGAGACAGGAAACCTCTGCATCAAAAATCTCTTAAAAGAGATCCATTCCTTCACTGAAACATGATTTGCTACTTCAGTTGGGGTAGAAGCGTCCTCAAAGTTTTCTATAGAAACTGCTGCATCAGTCTCTGGACCTCTCAGTGGGTCAAAGAAATCATTATCTCTATGTTCCACGGCATCCTCCTATAAGAAACAATATCAGCAAAATTCATCAACACCATTAAAAGTTGTAAGACCTAAAACCAAGCAACAATGTTATTCAGAAATGCACTTCCAGAATGCATTTTGCTTTTCAAGTTAGAATGACACCTTAAGGATAACTGAATGCATAAACATATACACACACACATACGTCAATATATACGTATTAATTGAGATATACACCTAGACATATATAGCAAACCTAACACAAAAAGTTACAAGATTGACAGTATGCAACCAATACCAACGTATTATGCTTGAATCAAAATCTGAAAATTCCACCATTATATTGTAATCCATTCATTACAAGACAGAAATGGAATGGGCTTTGACCTCAAAGCTCATCACCCACATATTGATCTTAGTTAGGACCATAAGGAACTGAATAACCTCACCTCTATAACTTTTCCAATCATTAAACAGTACTGAAGGATAATCTCTTAGTAATTTGGCCATTAGGTGAAGACATGAAGTTAGTCTTCTGTTCGACATGATAGAACTTGATTAAGAAAAGCAGATGGAACTTTGATTTGTTTAATTGATCAGAGACTTCCCATAAAAGACAAAACAAACAGAATTGAAGCCAAAAGAAGGAAATAGAAAGAATCTTCTATTTATTGCTTTTGAAACTTAAGAAGCTGGTTGTAAAAGAAACTTCAAATTTGACATTTTAATTTCAATTTAATTGGAATAAGTAACAGCATCTCTGCTCTCAAATAACTATAAAGTGATTAACCATAATTCGGATTTCTTTTACGACTCAGTTTTTTTTTTTGTTTCCGGCGACCAAACACAGCGCAGTTTTAAGAGCACATTTGAGGTTTTGGCTTTAAAAGGCTGGACATTCCAAAGAACAAAGAGTGGAGTCAATTATTTTGGTGCATACACAAATATTTTCTCTGGTATCAAACAGAGGTCTGACTGAGCAGATATCGAGAAAGTTTAAATTGTTAGTGTAAACCTGGTGATTATGAGATAAAGGCGGCGAGGAAAGAGGGTGAGTGTCTGCAGGTGAGCGAAGGAGCGCGCGGGATTCTTGTTCGGTGGTGTAATCTCTAACTCTGAACTCCATTGTTTTGATCAGCGTCGTCTTCCTCGAATTCCCTCTCTTTAATCGCTCTTTCTGTTCAACGAGATCGGCTTGAAACGACGCTCCCGATCTAACTGCTACGCAGCGTTTTGGAGTGAATCTGAATGTGTTTCGTCTGGCTGGGAGCAAAACGCACAGTTTAACCAATTACACTGACTACTGCCCGCACGGTAGTACTGCAATTTGCGGGGGGCTGCCTGTAGAATCCTTGGGTCAGCGCGGGCTGAGTCAGGTTGTACTGGACTTAATTTGAAAGAGTTTAGCCTAGACTCACGTGGGAGTGAATTGAGTTGGACCGAGTCAAATTCATTAGAGTTGCATCCCACCCTTCACTACTATAAGTAAAATAACAAGCTGTGGTTAACCAAATTTGAAGCGAGTACTTTTGTATCTGATTATCCAGATGGTAACAATTACTAAAGTTATAAAATCTAAACTAATACGATAAAATTTATTTAGTGACTTAGTTTAAAATTTATTTTTAACGGCGAATCTAAATTAAAATAGGACGAGATAACTTCTTTTTATTCACCGCAATTGTAACAAATGGAATCGAAGTCTTATAATTTTAATATCAATGTGCTCTTGCGTATAAGATACTTAATTTTAAATAGTATATGCTATTTTAACATAAAATTATACTTGATATGTTATTGGTGCTCAAAATTTGATACACTTTAGTTATAATTGAATTCAATAAGCTCTATTTTATAAATTCAAAATACACATATTACACTTAGTGTCTATTTTATTGAGAGTTCATAATTAATTTATATTTTTATCATTTTATGCTAATGATAATGTCCGATATTTAATTCAACTATTGATAAATAAATTCTTTAATAAAAAATCTTTAAAGAACTTTGAAATCATTGCATTTAAGTATTTATATTCATTTATCTACTTACCAAATTTGTATTTCTAATATAATTTTTTGTTTTCATAATAACATTTAAGTATTTATATTACATATAGTGATATGTGTTTCTGTATTTATTATTTTTGTTTAATAAATAAGGTTTCAATAATATTCTTAAGATCTCTAAATTCACTCTTTTTATCTTTCTTTTTTATCCACATAATAAATTCTCCTCTTTTTCCTTTTTCTACCCCTTCCCCTCCCTCTGTGCACATTGCCATAATCTTTTATATATCATGTTAAATAATAGAAAATACTATTTGAAATTTAGATAGTAAAATAACATTAGAACAAACAGTAATATTTAAGTCACAAGTATGTTTTTTTCAATGATGGTATCATTAAAAATTTTATATGTGCTCCAATTTATTAATAGTTTCTAACATTTTTTAGTTTTAATTTAGAAAAGTTAAGTTTAATAAAATTCAACATTCTGTAATAAATAAGAATGTACGTGATGAAAATAGATAGTAAATACATAATACAATTTTATATGGATATGTAATAATAAGACACTTATCGTACATTTAATAGTAAATAATATTTCCTCTATAATAGTTAGCCAATCATATATTCTCAATTATAAATATCATGATTACAAAATTTTTTTTATATAAAGATCATGATTATAAAGCCTCTTTGTTACTTAACAAAGATAATCTAATATTATTGTAACATCCCTAAATTCTCTGAGACGTTAAATACATATGTTGTCATCCCTTAACTACATCATGACTATTAAAGATATTTTCTGCATTCATTTACTCACTATACATCAAATAATCCGATTCGTCTAATTCGAATTCAAGATATCACATATTACAACCACTAATATCAAAATGACAAGTAAAAACTCCCGTTTATAAATAGGATGTTTAATTGTAACTTTATAAAGATGAGTCTATACGGTTTGATTAATCCGCTTCCGCTAAGTATTGTACTATAACTGGTAATTCCAGCTTTGTCCCATATACTACCGCATTTGAAAATGACATGGAATGAGTATACTCTAACCTAATAAAATAAATTTAGAACATAAAATAAAGTATGGAAAAATATTTGCATTTATAGTCTCATATCTCCCCGTGTCATCCTACTCAATGTGCAGATATACACCAAGCACTTACTTTTACTCGTCTCCCTCAAAAGTCCTTAACCCTTCTTCAACCAATTAATAATACTGACTAGTCTATCTTCTCATCACTGTCGATGTGTCATGTACTTACAGAGATCTAACCAGCCCATATTTCCTAATCTATGATATTTATACAAGTTTACTTTATACTTTTATGCAAAGTACAATGATCTTACACACATGTAGAGTCATGCCAACCACATCGGCACCAAAATATCCACACTGGTCACTCACCATGACTCAGCATAAACACAATAACAATAATCATAATTGATACACTACTAAAGCAGTTTAACTAAATAACACATGCACACGCTGACCTTCACTCAGCCACATACACACCAACACTACACCGGCCCTTACTACACAGCACTCACACACACCAACGCCACAACAGCCCTTATTCGGCCATATACACACCACTACACCGGCTACATACTCACTATTCAAAATCTATTTACCTCTTGTTTTCAAGTATGGTGTTGGATCACAGTGACAAACCTCCTTCCAAATAACCTCCCTCGTCTATGGTTGTACTTCGACGAGGTTTCTCGCGCTACCTCCTCCATCTTAGCCTTTCGAGAGTCGCTTCACCTCTTTTCCTCCTCAGTCAAGTTTCTTCCCTTTTTTTTTTCTACTAACCTCACCCTAACACCCTTGTTGTTTTGCAGATGAGAAGAAGAAAAGGGAGGCTATTCGTGCAAGGCCTAGGGTTTGGGCTTAGTGGGTTTTTTTATTGGATCGAAGGAGATATTGGGCTTACTGGGTGTTACATCTATACTATTATCGTTTATTACTGATGAAAATTCTATCAATAGCTATAGTAAAACAAATAGTGCAATGCTATCTATATTAAGTTAGCATAGTTAAATAATAATAAAATATACTCTTTATACTCATATTAATCAATATTAAATTTATAAACTCTTTTTTCATCATAAAATTGAGATAACTTTCTCAAACAAAATCGTGATCATTTTTTTTTCTTTTCATTTTAACGCATAAATTGGCAAAAAGCTACTTAAGCTTTAATTCAACTTAGTCATATTTCTATCACATTCTATAACTTTTGGCATAATCATTACGTGAATACATTATACTGATTAAATTTTTAAGTACATAGTTTTTTTTAAAAAAAACTTACTATTTTGTTGAATTTTTTTTATAGAAGACTGTTAAATTGAATTTCATTGAACCAATAATTAGTTGCCTTAATAATTAGTATATTCACTATTTTATAAGAAGTAGTGAGTTTAAATCATAATCTGTATTTGTATTTAAAAATTTTTGTATTGTATTATTATGAACATTTATATATTTACTATTAAAAATTTATCTACAACATATAACGTTAAGATTCGTCACATTAATTTTAGAAAATCCAAAGACTTATCGGGTGGATTTTAGATTTTCAAGAATATTAATTACATGCATGTCCACCTATGGGAGCCATGAGGATGAGGAAGAGAATCTTTAGTTTTTGACCTTCTAATTAAGAAAAGTGCATGGATGAAATCTGAAATTTGTTAAAAGCATAGACCTTAAATATGACAATATTATTTATAAATTTATATTTAATTTGATTAGAATATGATGTAAATTATATAATAATGTTATTAAAATCAATATTGTATAAAACTTAGTATAAGTTCTAATTTTTTTTTTTTTTAAAAATGAATTTGATCGGGGTCTTAAATTAAAATATACACTTTTATTTAATTAATATTTTTTATCTACTATCATGTACAAAATATATTTTAATTTTAACTGAATAGAGAGCGAAAATATTTTATTCAAAAAAACAAATGTATACTATATCGTATAAAATATTTTATATAGCATAAAAGTAAAATCAATTAACAACCTTAAACGAAAGGATTAATTTAATTAGGTCAAACTCTATATACCAACAATATAGTACAATTTTTTTTTTTTTTTTTTTTGTAATTTTTCGTGTTATGTAGTAGACGTGTATATATAAATACATTGTATATACATGTATATGTATAGAGGATTCGTGAAATGGTCGTTAGCTTGAAGCTGAATTTATATTTAGATTCATCAATGGATCAACTGTGGAAAAGGTGAAAGTTTTTATATTTGCAAATCAAGTCACCTTATTTTATAAATTTGTACATTACATTATAGTTTGGGGTCTTTGTTTCCCTTCAATTTTGGGTGTCTCTCCTAATTATTTCTAAACTTGCTTCTCCTAACAACATTGCCAAATATAAGGTCGGTTTTAGGACCCTTCAATTAGTTAACCGTAAGTAATTGTATATAAATTTTAATTTTATTATAAATATACCCTCTCGGTTAATAAAATATAAATTTGTATTCATTCCCGCATCCAAAAATAATAAATAAATTTTTATTTACTATCAATCTCGAATGTAGAATTTTCTATCGGTTACCCGTCTCATTTATTTATTTATTTTTTAATTTTAAGAATTTTTTGTTAAATGTTTAAATAATATTAATTAAGAAATATTAAATATTTATTTAAATATAATCCTTAATAACGAATATAAACTAATATTAACCATTTATTAATTAATATTTAATTAATTTAAGTAAAACTAAAAATAAAAATAAAATTTATTAATTATATATACAGCGGTTATATGGACCTTTAACGACAAATTGCTTTACGTGTAGGTGTATATATGTATATATATATATATGTGTGTGTGTGTGTGTTTGTAGTGTGTAATGTAAAAGCTGCAATAGGCTTTTTCTACAAGTAAATATAAGAAATTCATACATGTAGTGTATTAAACAAGTTTACGAACTTCATTAATTACCAAGTAAACCCTAATTAAATAGCTTAGAATTCGACCACACTCCTTGCATCACATCTCTAAGAACTTTTTTTTTTTTTTTCCTTAAAACCACATTTCCCGCGTCAACTCCCTCCTTCTACTCTCCTTATAAAACCCTAAGTCCAACCCCCACCACCTCATTTCCACACCAACCTGCAAATAATTTTCCCGGAATCCAAACAAGAAAAAGAGTACCCACAACCCATCTCCATCTCTTGAAAAAACCCAGAAACGAAAACTGAAAAAAAATACCAGCAAATCAAGTTCATCGTTTATGGAGTTCATCATGAAGATCGTCGTCACCATAGCCATAACCGTGGCGGTAACCATCTCCGTCACCATGATGAGCGTCGGTCAAGTCGATAACGATCAGATTCATCAGAGGAGCAGCAACATGCAAAATGAAATGAAGAAGCTTTCAGCAATGGCGGATGCGGTGCCCAAGAGGGTGAGTAGATTTCTGAAGGAGACGAAGAAGCCGAGAAACCCTAATGCTGCAGACCATTGCCATAAGGACCCTCAGGTCTGCCACGTTCAAAGCGGCGGCGTCGGAAACTCCACGTGCTGTAATAACAAGTGCTTGGATCTGTCGATTGATAAACACAATTGCGGAGCGTGCAAGAACAAGTGCAAATTCATGGAGGAGTGTTGCAGAGGACAGTGCGTCAACTTGTCTTTTGATAAGAGGCATTGTGGGTTCTGCAACCACCGGTGCAAAGATGGTGAATATTGTGTGTATGGGATGTGTAATTACGCTTAATTAATTATGATTAATTAATTAAATTAATTAATTATGATTATTTAAGTCAGATCATTTAGAGAAAGTTATAAGGTATTATCAAAACATAAATGAATTGGAAAATTATAAAAATTCCAATTTTTTTATGTTCTAAAAAATATCTGATAATTTTTTCTATTTAAACTGTGACGGAGGTGGGTTGATTTTTACTTTCTAAATGAATATATACAATAAAGAGAACCGCATTTGAGCTGGTTCTAATCACGTACATTTTATAAGTAGTATATATATTGATGAAAATGATTATATAAATATATACACATGGAATTTACATTTACAAAATGTTGAATTTCTATAAATGTGATTTGCAATATACCATTTTAACAAAAATATATAATGAACAAACTATATGTATACACTATATCTATAAAGTATTTAATTTATTTTCTTAATTAAACATAGAGATAATTTTTGATTTCATTAGCTTATGTTGGTATATTGAAGAAGACTTCCTGAATGTTGGATGAATGATATATAAGAAGTTGATTTTTTTAGCAATTTTAACCATAATTATTATTAATTCTCTCATAATTGGGAAATATTAGTTAAAAATCCTGTAATCAATATATATACTCTATGCCCATGTGTATTTGCAAGTATATATATATATATATATATATATACTGTATTTTATATATTGTGTATATAAATAGGGGGATGAACAATTCTTCAAAAATAAAATAAAAACAAAAACTCCAATAATTATAATAAAATAGTTAATTATTGCAGTTAGGAAAGTGTGAACACTTCTTTTGGTGATCTTTCAAGTCCTCCAAGAAATAGTTACTTTAAGATCACAAAACATATATATATACACACACACACATACATACATACATACATATATTTGTCTGGTGTGTTATGTTCACACACCATTTTAAGCTGAAATGCTCGTGGGGTTCCACATGAAAATCGCTTAAATTCATAGCTTTTTATGCAAAAAGGTGGTCAACAAGCTCATGAGCTGTATATTAACTCTTAATTTTTTTTTCTTAATTAATTTTTAATTATTTTAAATTACGTATTCATGTATATTATTATCATTATTATAATATATGTATAGATGTTAATATAAAAATCTAAAACCTTAAGAGAATAAATATATATTAAAATAATAAACGCAAATAATAATTAAAGTTTACATTCGTTACACAGTAAATTGAAATGCCCAATAGAATTATGAGAATATTTATTTTACATCGGTTTATAAAGAGAGACAAACAATAATCCAAATAAATAAATAGATATTTTAGGAGTTAACATTCACTAACACTCGAATGGGAGTCCAGAAGGTGATCTACTTACAACCTTCTTACTGATCGGGATATGAATTTTAGTCTTTTTTATTTAAAATGGTTAATAAAAAGGTGAGATACACTAGTTCAGTAAGAATATCACACTAATCACTAATACGGAAAATTGAAGGTTTGTAAAAATCACAAAATAACTAATGGAGCATTTGATTTAAATAAATTCATTTAATTTTAAAACGTTTTATTCTATACTTACCGTTATGAATTTTTCTACAGTCAATCCTATGAAGATAAGTAACCAAATGACATTTTAATTTTATGTATAAGATCAATAATTCTTCATTTTTAACCTACTTACTAGGACCTCTGGAGATTTATAGGGATATCCCTCTACTCATGAACCCAGTATCTCGATTTGACAATTAACCCGGTCGTCTCTATACCCTATCTGGTAATGGGCATCAACATGTCATCCCCTCGATACTCCATCAGGTATGAGGTGAACCATCTTTCTCAAACCCTCCAACAAGAAAATTTCTCAGGTCCATCTGATTGAGGTAATGTGCACAGTAGGGTTTCCTATGTATTAGGTCCGTTCACTCTTTTCCAGGGCACTTAGTAAGCTTTCATATATATAGATTCTCATCGTCCAAACAACCACCAATTGCATATTACACATTTACAGATCAATTTAAACGACATCTAAATAAATGATTACAATTTACGTAACCGAATAACCAAGTAACCAGATAACTAAATAATCAGTACAGGAAAAACCAAGTAACCCAAATAACCGAGAACATAATTTAAACTATAGCAATTTAGTGCACTCAATGCAATAGTAAACATCTTAAGCAACATAGGAGAAAATGAACAGTAAACCAGGGCAATCGTACACTAACCAGTTCTGTCTCAATTAGTGACTTGTAATTATTATTAGAGTTTTCTAATTTTTACAAAATACGGGATTATTGATTATTAAGTCTCAATTTATCGTAACAGATAATAGAGTGATAGATCTTTACTTGAATCGGTGTTCGAAACGCCATGCTACCTACTGCGCCTCTTGACGATTATCAGATTTTCGGAATTTTTCCTACATAAATTAAAATACTTGTCGCGTACCCAAAAATATCCCAAAAGGTCAAAATTGGTGTTGAAAAACTTTTCCGACCAATTTTAGAGTTTCGGCACGGCAGTGTTGCCGTGCTCCAGCTCCGTCACCCACGGCGGCAGTTCGCCTCAATTTTGGTAAATTTTACACGTATCTCTGTGAAGAAACACGTTAGAAAGTCTCGGTTGGTCAGAAAAACTAAAAATTCAAACCTACCGGCAAGAGAGGTCTTCGGGTGCGGTGGCTCTGCTGGTTTTCCTTCGCTACCGGAGTTTCTCCTTTGGCTAACCTGCACAGAAAGCGTCAGTGAACACAATAATCAAAGAATCATGTGAAACAGGAAACAGGAAGGGACTCATCAGATGGATTTTAGGGTTTTGGCCGCAGCGGCTCTGCTGGGCTTTACCCATAGTTTCTGGCTCACCTGTCGTCTCTTTTGCTGTGATATAACCACATGAAGACTCAGAATCGAATTTTGAGCGGAAAATTTTTTTTTAACCTTTTTTGGTAGTCGATGGTGACTCCGGTGCAGTGGTGGCTAGTGGTCGATCTCCTTCTCCGGCATCTGGTCTCAAACACGAATAACATATCCATCCAAAAATTTTCAGGAGATCATAATTTGGTTTTTTATTGAAGAGTTATTCAAGTGGACTCAAGTTGTTAAGGACAGGTGTAGGCAATTTGTTAATAAAAAAGACAATAGTTTGAAAGGCTTCTAGCCAATATTTCAAAGAAACTTTGGCCGATATAAGAAGTGTAAATCTTGTTTCTATCACATGTCGGTGTTTTCTTTCTGTTCTTCCATTTTGAGCAGATGTGTAAGAACAAAAATATTGAGTTTTAATCACATACTTTTGAAGAGCACTAGCGAGACCTATATATTCACCTCCTATATTAATTGCATGCACTTAATTTTTCTATCAAATTGATTTTTAACAAGAGTTTTGTTTATGAATGTTTGGATAATATCATATTTTTGCTTAAGTGGATATAACTAGGTATATATGTTATAATCATCAAGAAATAGAATATAATACTTGAAACCTGACATTGAAACTGTTGGAGAAGGACTCCATATATCTGAATGTATAAGCTATAATGGTTGTGAAGCATGTGAAGATGAAATAGTAAAAGGCAATAAATATGATTTACCAAATTGACAAGCATCGTAAAAACTCATCTTTTCATTCACTATCGAAGTTTTGTTACAAGACTCAAGTGCCTTCGATAACACTTTATTTGATGGATGACCCAAATGTTTGTGCCAGGACTCAATAGACTCGAAACAAGATTTTTTAAAAATGTAGAAATAAAAACTTAAACAGGGTTTTGAGTTTGATTTACTGTTGATCCTTCAACTTAACTTGATAAAGTTGATCTTTATGTCTCCTTCACAACAACATTAATCTCGTTGCCTTTTCCTTAACAATGCAACCAAAAGAATCAAATAAGATATTATCATTGTTATTTGCAGTAAGTTTAGATATACTAATCAAGTTCTTTTAAATATCAGGCACATGCAATGTATTTTCAAGTAATAGATACTTTTTGCTACATGATGAATATCAAGCTTCTCACCATTTCCAACAATTAAAGATTTTTTACTAGTATAGTCTTATTTCTGCTCGAGATTTATAGCGTCATTTGTCACATGATTACTTGCACCATTGTAAACATACTAGTTTGGATCTGCATAATTTTCAGCTGAAGCAATAAACACTTAATATGGTTGGCTTTTTGTGTTATGATAAGGTACAACACTCATGTAAATTTTGTTAATTCTGTAAAAACAATAAGTTATTGTATGTTCAATCCTACCACAGACTTGACATATTGATCTGTTACCACTTACATATTTGATATATTTGCCTCGGTAAAATCTTTTTCCTCTGTTGTTGTTGTTGGCATTTCTTCCACCATGAAATTGATTTCTTGATTGGTTTGAGTTTCTGTTTCCATCATTATAGTTGATTCTATTTGCATAATTTGTCATTGGTTACCCAAGATTAATTATTGCAATTCCAGTATTGAGTTGTTCCAATCTTCTCTCATAGCTAAATAGCTTTGACTAGAGCTCAACCGATGTTCTCATTTTCACTGATTTAGCACACCAAAGGGTTGTATTCTTGTGACCAGCCAAGACGTGAGTGACCAAATCTTCAAGTGATATTGGATGACCTGCTAATGATAGATTATCAACTAAGCCTTTCATTATTTTCAAATAATCTTTCATCTTCATACTTCCCTTTTACATTTTCACAAATTTTCTCTTATAAAAAACTACATTAGATCTTGTTTTTACTCCGAACAGATTATTGATTACATCCCAAAGTTGCTTGGAGGTCTCATAACCCATTAACTCTGAAGCTACAAGAGGTTTTATCAAGTTGCAAATCTAACCAAGCAAAATTTGATCATGAGTGAACCATTCGTCATATTCTGGATTCACAACCACTTGAATATCTTTTATTCTTTGAACATGAACTTGAGAAAACTCAGGTGAACTAGGTTTCGCACCCATGATATAACCTTCAAGCTTGTTGCCTCTGATGACTGGAAGAATCATATTCTTCCACAAAAAAAAGTTATCATGA